TTTTTTTTTTAATGTGTTTTAGGTTCCCCTCATATGAGCATCTGAAGGCGTTTTGGAACTTGATCGAGGCAGCAACAGCCAAAATGGTCAGGGTCACCAGAGCAAAGAAAACCGACGTCATGAGTACAACAACTGAAACCCCTTTTACCAGACCAACTGTAAGTTACACACACACACACACACACACACACACACACACACACACACACACAATGAGAATGCTGGTTTTGAACTAACATTTAAATAATTTTCTGTCCAGAAACTGCTGCCAATAGATGAGCTTTTTCTTTTCCTCTCCTACCTGTCTACTGGATGTACCCAGAGGGAACTGGGCCATCGATTTAACATCCACAGAGCAACAGTCAGCCGCATTATTGTGACATGGGCCAACTTCCTGTACTGCTTATTGGGCTCAATTTGTGTGTGGATGTCTCCTGCAGCTGTGAGTTCCAGTCTTCCACAGGATTTTGATGGCCGCTACAGTGACACACAAGTTATCCTGGACTGTACAGAACTACGGTGTCAAACACCTTCATCCCTGCTCCTCCAGAGTGAAGTCTTCTCCACCTACAAATCCCACTGTACCTTTAAGGCCATGGTGGGCATGTCTCCTCACGGAGCCCTGACATTTGTGTCAGCACTGTTTGAGGGTTCCATGAGTGACAAGGAAGTGTTCCGTCAATCAGGGATTACATCACTCTTGACACTGGACATGGCCATCATGGTGGACAAGGGATTCTTGGTGGATGATCTCGTACCTGGGACTGTTCATCGTCCTGCCTTCCTCTCCAAGAGGGCCCAAATGTCAGAGGTCGACGTTTTGAAGACCCAGTCCATTGCCCGTTTGAGGGTGCATGTTGAGAGGTTAATAAGAAGAGTTAAAGAAAATAAACTCTTTGATTCCACTATCCCTCTCTCCATTGCAGGAAGCATAAACCAAATTTTTACAGTTGCCTGTCTCCTGTCAAATTACCAAAATGGACCTTTGGTCAGGAAATGGAGATATGAAGTTTGACAGAAAAGCTGATGGCACAGTCTTGAAGAAACAGAATGACATTGTCTTACATTTGTAAATAGATATTCATGATGGAAATATTTTGAAACAAATTTGTACATTTGATTTGATCAAACTCCTAATTTAGACATTTCTGCAGGTAAACATAGAAAAAATATCTGTCTACTTTGTGTTTGATTGAATCCATCACATTAGTGTCTGCATAAATTCTTTGAATAAGAATATCTTCCTCAGCTGAGACAACAAAATCACACCAGTTCATCCCAGTTATTAGCATCTGCCCCTGAACCTGCCAATAGTAAACATGAGTTTTTTTTAGTTTATTCACCATGTCCCAGGTGACCTCCATACTTTTAAGGTGTAGCTGTTGTGGTTCAGAACAAACAAACATGCTTTTTGATGGCTGTAGGTGGTAGTTCTTAAGAGGCAGAGATGGGCGGGGTGGTGCAGCATGGAAGGACATGTCTCTCTTTGCTGTTGCTGGCTGTTGGTAGGACAGAGGACTTCCAGCCTGAACTTTGCCAAGGGCAGAGTCAACAAGGGGAAATTCATGGCTGATTCCCATGCTGCAGATCATTGGTGCATCAGCTGCTGCAAAATCTTCATACACCTCGGAAACCTGGGAAAGTGAAAACAATTATTTCAATAAAATGTAAAATACATGTATATCAACTAATTTTAAGCCCTCAAAAATTCTACACTTTACAAAGAGACAGCACTTGAAAATAAAATTATTCAATACACCGGTAAGTCTACAACTCTTTGTTAGTACATTGTAGCCTACTGTTAATTTCATTTTTATTTATCAGTAATTTAAATACAACTACTTACTCTAAGGACAGAAAGGTCCGGCAAATCCCCACTAAGGCCTTTGTAGAGTGTGCTCCTGTGTATATAAATAAGAAAAGAACATGAGTCAAAAATAGAATACCCACCTGCATTTCGTTCAGATATGAAACATAAAATAATAGTGTTTTTCAAGCCTGGTCCTCAAGGCACACTGTCCTGCATGTTTGAGATTTGTCCCTGCTTAAACACAGCTCATTTCAGTTGGTAACTGATTAACAACTGTATCAGCTGTGTTAATGCAGGGAAATCTATAAAGCATGCAGAGCAGTGTGCCTTGAGGACCAGGGTTGAGAAACACTGTTGTAATACATCAGAATTTTTATTGATTTTTTTTTACCTTACACCCTCTGTTGTTGCTCCACTCTTCGGTTTAGCAGACAGCACAGTCATCTTGTCCACGGGGCCAGGTTTTATACCCTATTCAGTTATCCATGACACAGTTACAAGTTATACGGCAAGAAAATGTAATAAATTGAGTCTATTATTGAAGAGAAAACTTACTAAAGTTCTGGGCTTGTGCCACTGCTGTTCTCCTTCTGGACAGCTTAGTACAGGGGGGACCACTGATAGTTTCAGCTCAGAATAATGTGCTGACTGGAACAGCAAAGCCACACAGTGGTTGCATAATGCTGCACCAGCAACACACGTACAGCTGTGGTGAATCAGCTCCACAGGACACGAGTCTTTCAGGACCACCTGCATAAGAATGTCATAGTAAGAACTTATTATCTTAGCTTGGTCACTCATCAGCCATTCTTTCATGATGCAATCTTGCTTCCCAAATATTTTTTTATAACTAATGTCATAGAACCATAGTATCATGTTATGTGATTATATATTTAGTTTGGAGTATGTTCTATGAAGGTCAAGAGTAGTGTAATACAATTATCACAAGATTACATCTTAAATGAATGGATGAGATAAAGATAACTTGATTTCAAAACACTTTTAACCCAGAGGAGACCCGCTAGGTAAAAATACCTGGATAATGTTACAGAGACTGTGAGTGTATTCTTTAGATTTAAGTAAAACTAATATGCATGAATTACCAAATTAACACTGGGTTAAAAGTAACACATAACAACCATAAAAGAAGAACAATGCATGCAGCAAATAACCAAATGGGGACAAGCAAGGCCAAACTCACGTGTTAATATTCATCAAATAGCCAATTCCATTTTATTTTTATTTAAGAATTAATTACCACCTTAGCTAAATCCCCATTAACATTAGGAACGTCGGGTTACTGAACCAACAATCTTAAAACTGTCATCTGAACAATCCTATCTTCATCCTACACTTAAACTGTGAGGTTTTTCATTTTTCTTCATGGACCTGTGACACAGAGCCCTGACAACGACTTCACCTGTGTCCTGATTTTTGCTAGAAACTGAGAAGAGCAGAATGTTAGTAGAATGATCACAAAATATGAGCCTTTTGTTTAAGTGTGGAAAACCTGTTTCTATAACGTGAGTATACACAAAAATGGTCGTGTTGCTAATAGCCTAACGTTAGCTGCAAACAGTTAGCAACATCACAACGATCAAACTAACGTTACTTACCCTCGTAGTTGTGCAGGTAACTTGAGATATACAATTTAAATCCCTTGTTACGTTTGCTTGTCGGAGCAGGGGACCAGCCATCAACAATACGATGAACATCGCTGATATTTATCTTGGGCAGCTCTTGTAAACATCTAGAAAACGCCATTTTCACCGAGACCGGGGATTAGACCGGAAACTGGAATGCCGACATCCGGTCAAAGGGGAAGTGATTCAGGACGCATGTGCACAGAGCCTATTAAAGACCTGAAATATTTCAGTTGGTGTGCAATGAATCTGAAATATATGAAAGTTTCATTTTTATCATTACATTATGGAAAATAATGACCTTTATCACAATATGCTAATTTTTTGAGAAGGACCTGTATATATATATATACACATATATAGAGTGTATGTGTGTGTGTCTCATTTCACTCAGCCTTATAACCTGAATCTCTCACTCTCTGCTCATTGAATTGAGAAAGCTCCTCGGATGAGGAGCGAAACGTCTTCTGTTGTTTTTGTATTGAACGTTTTTTGAATTTATCATGTCCTGGATGACTGAGAATCTTCACCAGCATATATAGAGTGCATTTTTTTTGCATCTTCCCATCCACGTTACTTGAAATTAACTTCACAGAGGAAGCACGTCAAACCTTTTTTTTAATTTATTTTAATTCGTCTGTTGTATTTTTCACACCAAAACGTGTTGGATTATTAAACCAAAAAAATGTGTCAAACTTTTCCAGAAAATGTCAGGGATAATACCTGCTAAAATAAGGCTAAATATGTACAGTAATAAAGTAGTATTAAAATAATAACTGAGTGGGACATGTGTATCAAATGATTTCTTTAGTAACATAATCCTTCCACTCTATAGAAAATGATAAAGCCATGCAGTAGATTGTGGTAACTGACAGATAAAATTCCAGCAGAATCAGCCAGTGAAGAGTTTGGAACATGATATCTGGTTCAGCTCAAGCAACAAGTTTTGTGCTGATAACTTAGGCTGTAATATTTCTGCCATGAGGAAATCACAGAACTGGATTCTAAAAGTGAAATTTTATGTAAAATGCAGAATAGTGCATTTTTTTTCTTAACAATCTGTATTTATCTACACTTTATAGTGAATAAAAGATGGCCTGCTGTTTGTGTTTGTGTGGGGGCAGCCTTCTACAAAGCTGAGACAAAGAGGTCAAGCCAAACATCCAGAATCACCCAGTTTAAGACTATTTTAAGCAAACTCTTCTGCCTGAAAACATTAGGAAGCACAAAATGCTAGTTTTTATAGACTTCTATAATCTTGGGCTACTCCAACCATTTCAGGACACTTTGCTTTTAAGCAATATAAAAACTAGAAAGCAGAGTGTCCTCAGATAGTGGTGGTCCCTCGTTATATCGCTGGTCACTTCTTGTGGCTTCACTGAATCACAGGTTTTTTAAACCCAGTTTTATATTATGTGTGTGCTGTACACGCTGTGCAGTAATTCATCTCATCGTCATCATCTTCATCGCCAAAGTGTTTAAGAGCATATGAAGTGTT